CACAATTATTGACATTGATAATCCTTCAACTGATGTTTACTGGTTAGTGAATGGAGTGATGAAGAGTAGCTCAATGTATTCATCAATTATTGATGTCCTGACATACAACAACACAATACTGGTATATCCTGATCCACTGGGAGTGTCAGTTAATGTTACCTGTATAGCAATGCTTGCAGGAGTCAACTACAGTCAATCTGTGATATTACACGGTATGATTATACTTTAATCAATACTAAATACTTTTGTCTTTTTTCAAGCTCCTAGTGGTCCTCCAAATAATGTGAGAGGGTTTATATTAAATGCTACTAGTATTAAAGTGAACTGGACCACTTCATCAGAGACTAATGGATATGTGATTGAGTATACTACTGGATGTGTAACCAGGAATGTAGTATCTACCAGTGAAGATGAAATTGTACTAACAGATCTCTCTCTAATGAGTACCTATACCATCAGTGTGTACTCATATATAGATCTTCCTTCTATTGATTATGTGACACTTGTCATTCAAAAATATAGTGGTTGGTAAATATTTATAACTATTCCTTTTTAATAGAAGCAATAATTTTTCTACTCCATCAGATTCATCAATCCACAGTGATAGTGTTATTGCTCTTGGTGTGTCAGTAGGTGTATTGTTGATTCTACTAACTGTCAGTGTTGCTATTAATATCTGCTGCTTTATAAGGTACACATGTAGCATCATTATATACAATATTAATTGATAATATTTTTAGAAATAAAGTTCATTTTGCCACAGGTGCTACTATTAAAGACCCAAAGTTAGTATAATAGCACAAGTTACTAATATGCATGCACACACATATCTATATATATAGAGCTGATAAAGATATTGCATTGCAAGTATGTCAAACATATCAAATTCATAAGACTGAAGTTGGGGAAGAGATTGAAGTGGTCTATGATGAATGTCATGCATCACCTGATGCTACTCGCACATATTATGAACTCTGATGATGTACTGAATATTGAATGATTTTCTTGAAAAATGTTATACTAGGCCTAGCTATAGAACTATAATTATTGTAATCTAGTTTTGTACAATAAATACAATTGTAGTAAATCAAATGAGCTATAGATCTACATTTATTGATGTGACATACTCCTCAACCTTTGCCTGCTCATGCAGTCAAATTTGACAAATTTTATTCTTTTATACAGTAACACCAAACATGTCATGTTACAAACCAGCATAACATTCGATTGATCATAATACCATATTTCAACTAGGTAGCTAATAAAAGAATAAAATTTGATGAACTTTCAAAAATAAAGCCGTAAAATTGTACAATGGTAACTAAACATTGGTCACTTATCATGGTGTAAACATGGGTCCTAAAGCAAATTTACAACTTCTTAGAAGTGTGAACTAAATTGCCAGTTTTGTTTTAACTTAGCTAATCAATGAGTAACATGAATAGCAACGTTATTAGAATAATAAAAGCTCAGCCTACTTTTCTGTTAATTTTGAAATTTCCGAGACAATTTCTGTAAACTGGTACAATCACTGTGCATTTTCATAAGCAAAAGATTAAATAGTTTTTAATCAAAAATTTTCTTATAACAATGACAGCTAAAAAATAACTGCATGACAACTGGAATACTTTTCTAATCAAAATGTTAATTTACTGTCATTTCA